ACCCTGATGGCCCAGGTATTACATTAACTCATTGATAAAACCACTGGTTGCATAATTGCCCAAAATCCCTATACCACTTAATAATGTTCCCTTACAATTACCAACCCGAGGTCCTCCTTCCCCCTTCCAACTCGGCTACTTCCTCCACCTCTCTCTCACAATAGGTATCGATAGCTTAGCGATGATCCCCTCAAACCCATTTTCTTTTGCTTTCCCGCTTCTTGTCCTCGACTATCTTCGTCCTGGTCATCTCTGGTCCTCACGTCGCATCGCTCGTTTTGGTACCCTTTCGCGGTTGAGGTCCAGTCGTGTCCCTCCTTCCTTTCTCAAGCAGTGGTCCCATCCTGCCCACGACTCCGCTTCTTCTCGAGTTTACATGTGGGCCCTTAACAAAACTCACCTACTTCCTCTTTCTCCATTACCGAAAAGTCTAGGTTGTTTAATGTCGCTATGACGCGTCTCATCCCCCCGTGTGAATTCCGGTGAACCCTTTCTCCATTAGGGCCCTGGATCTGTCCCTTGAGGGTCCTAGAACACCGCCCTCCTATGATGTCATGGTTAAGCTTCGGGCAAAGCCTAACGAAATGTCCCATCAAGGTACAATATTGACACGGTTCCTTAAGGATTTCTCCGACTGGTTCGATGCTCAAGTCTTGCAGCTAAAGCTGCTTGGGGTACCAACAGAGTTAGAGATACTCGGGCTTGCACCACCCGGAGGGTATCCCCTACCCTTTCTCTCTGTTTGTGCGCCCCTTCGCCTTGATTGTGCAATTCCCTCGACCCCTTTTTCACTTCGTACCCAGTTGTTTCTAGAACCTCAAACCCTTCGTTGTTTCGCTGATAACTCTCTGTTCCGTCTCCCCTTTCTTGGTCGAGCCAGCCTGTGAGTGTCTCCCTTAGATTCCACAACTCATTATAATCCTCATTTGACAAGGATTGTCCGCCTGTCTGCTGACTCGTCCCATGGTCCGCTCCTGGCTTCCTTATTTCCTTCACGGTCCCTATCCCGAAGGGTCACGTCCGCCCTTTTTCCCCCGCGTTTCCGCCCGTCCCCCATTCACCGGGCTTCTCACTCATGCGCTCACGTTGCATCTCCCTTGCCACTCATCACTATGTAGCTTATCAATATCCTCTCCCTCAATGTCCTTTATCATTTCTTCAATTACACCAGCCTTGTAAGTTGCTATCATCTGCTCCACTTCCTTAAGTCTTCGTATGGTATCTGCTACCTTCCTTTTCTTTGTCACTCCGCCCACCGAGGTTTTTGACTCTTCCATATTTCCGATTACGATTGGCCTCATTCCCCGAAATTTTGCAGGCCTCCTCCCGGTATGACTCCCTTTTTCCAAAATCCCCCTCGCGTTGCCCTTGACCCCCTCGATGTTGAACCGTCGGTTGGCATTTATGGTACCGTYGTGTTCCCCYGGATTCCGGCCATCCATATTGCCTATCCGGTCACGTTTATTTCTCCSGCCCMTTCGGTTGCTTGCGACGTCCATAACGTATCAGACCTGCATGCCATACAATCAAAGGAAGGAGTACTTGCCTTAGACTCTMCCTGYCACAASTTTCCTATCGCAAATGTTCTCGTCTTCAAATCAGCTTAATCCTTGTCCTCTCGCTTCCTTGTGCACTTTAGGGTTCTCCCTACCTTATATGTTTTCTCACCCTCTACCTGTCTTACTGCTTCAATGGTCTCTCTTACCATGCTATGCTCGATTACGGTTGCCTGATGGTTGATACCTTCTCTTGACTTCCTAGGGATTTGTCCTCACGCCTTGGCCCCTAAAAGTTACGAAACCCTTACGGCCCCTCGAATTTCGTCCAGACGTCATCCTGGTGGTTTTTGCAACAAAAACGCACACGCGAGGCACCCCCTATCCATATTTAGCGAGTCACTTATATACTGCCGTATATATGATGTCTGCTACACTAGTCCAGCTATCCGCGCTAGTCTCGCCCTCGCCCCCTCGGCTGATCCCAAACAATGTCAGCTACCGGGTCAATTTCTATAGCAGCTATATCCAGATTATTCAGGACGATGACGGCATGCCGCATTCCGCCTGGCGAATTCCAATTTACGCGCTCTCCCCGGGGTCCGAAAATCTCACCTTTAAGGGACCTGCTGCACCTCTGCCTCAAAATATCATGGTTGAGTCTTGGGTAGACCCGCACGAAATGTCCGACCACTATGCAATACCTGCATTGCTCGTTAGCCGGGTCCTTCCTGCCATACCCCCGATTTGCTACTGCTGTCGGAACTACGGCCTCTTGAGGCGGGAAGGCGGGTCGGGACACCTGCGCTTGCATCACTAATAGTGCGTTTTTCACTCTTTCTATCTTATTGTCGACCCCGTGCACTCGCTCGTGCAGACTTTCTATCCCTTTCTTGACTTTACCTCCCGTTTTYCCTGTCAGGTCTATAACCTCCCCTTCCTTAAGTAGGGCTAGCGTCTCGGTCACCACTGTCTTTTCGACAAGGTCTGTTAYGGTGCTGAAATCCACGTCCCTCGTGTATTCGAACTTGCTGGTCTGCTGGTAGGCWGACAAAATCTTATCCTTATCAAACTCGGAAAACTGYCTGAGGAAGTATTTACTCATTATACGGTCCGTTACCCTGGGAATTCGCAGAGCCACTAACGTAAACGCCCTTAGGAAATCGTTGTAAGTCGCATAGTTTTTCCTCTGGACTGCTGCTAATTCGGCCTCTGTTGCCATTTTCTCTRCCTTGAGATACTTTCTCATCATCTCATTTCGAGTTTCTTTTCAGGATCCACTAGACGCGACGATAGTCATAATGTCTTTTCCCAAACTCAACGACACATGTTGCCCTAGGTGGTCCATCTTCTCTTCCTCCGTCCATTTCAATAAAGCTGCCAGGTTTCGTAGTCTATTAGAAACTCCGTGATGTTTGCCCCATCGAACGTGAGTTTCTTCTTTGCGTGTGCGAGGTACCCCTGATTCTTATTTAGTGCCCGGGTGAGGGTGGTTACTATCCTCCAGAGCCCGCCTTCGGAGTTATCCCCTTCTCCAGCGGCACTTGTCCCTTCCCCTTCCTTGCTTTCCCTCTGCTTCTCCCCGGTCTTTGGCGTTCCCTTCGGATCAAACCAACCAAGTAACCTTTCCCTGAGGCTCCAGAGTTTGTCACACGCCCTTGTTACTTTGGGCGTAGCGGGCAGCCGGCTAGCGCCGCTGTCGATGGTCGGCGAGGTCATAGCCTTTTCCGTCCCTTCCGCCGGGTAGTCGTCCTTGTCCTTCCCCTTCTTGCTAGGCATTCCCTTATGACTGTTATCCTTCTCTTCATACCTGGCCTCGCCCTGACTGGTCCTATGCCCCTCTCGTGACCCTAGACCCTAGGGATCCACCTCATTTCCGACCATCATCTACTCAATAAGTTTCGCCTTAAATTTTGCGGTCCGCCTTTCTATCTCTGCCAGTTTACGGCGGGTGTCCGAGACTTTCGTCTTTTTGGGAGTGGTCCGTGCCGAGTTCCGAGGACTTGTTTTTGTATCGTTTCTCCCTTTCCTGTTTTTCTGAGGTCCCCTTTTGCTACCCCCTGCTTTCCCCGAGCTTTCCCCTGTTGAAAGGTCCTTTCCATCTTCTCTTGTTCCCTCTGGTTTGGTTGACTCTCGATCCTTTACTGACCCCTCGTTTCGTTCCCCGTCCCTATTCGTACCCTGACTGCCTCTGCTCTGCTTGTCCTCAATCTTTTCTTCCGACGCCATTCCCTAGCCTACACATGAATTTTTTTTTCTTCGAAGAATGGCCGATTGTTCATAACTTCCCTTGTCCCGGCCCTAAAGTCCACGTGTTCTTATGCTTTTTCCGTCTTTCATTAGTCGGAACGATCCTTCAGACTTTTTCTTTCCCAGGGCGTTTTTCAATTTTTCCTTGGCCGAGAGACTTGTCGCCGAGGTTTCGTATTTTATTACCGCCGCACCTCGACTCTTAGGGGGTGTCTGAGCACAGTGGCTCTCCTATCAGGGATGAAACCTTTTGGCTTTTTTGACATCTAGATACCCCAGTATCCCTGGTGCGAGTGGTCTTCCCATTTCCTTTCTGCTGTATCGTCCGGCAAGGAGGAACTCCAACCACTGCCCCCCTTTTTTTTTCTGATAGTTGTCTTCTTATCTTAATACCCGTCCTTTATTTTCCCATCCTTTTCCTGGTGCTTTTCCTCATGCCGGTTCCTCAGGTCTGCCTTGTTCGTCCATATCCTTGAACAAGTTAGCCACCCCGGCAAGGTAATTTTCCCCCATCTCAATTTCCCTGACAATTATTGGTTCATATTCCTCGAATGATAGACGGGGCAAATCGAATATCAAGATTTCAATGATTTCGAGTAATTCCCAGGCCTGGTTTCCCCAAAACGGCCCATGTCTAACTGACACATCGTAGAACATGCCCGTCGTTTGTGGTCGGAAGTGGTGGGTTCAGACGGGTCGAGTCCACCGGATCCTTTGCCCTTGAGAGACTGCCGAATACCAAGTCTATTATGAAGCGAGGCATTCGGCATCTCAGTCCTGTCATTGGTGCCTTAAACTCTCGCCAACCACATACCTCCACCCGAGTTCTCAACCCTATGTTCCTTATCCCCCGCACATCCTGGCTTATTCGGTTCAATATCCTAGTAGCCCTCCGGAAGACTGGTAGCAGCCGGTGCCCTAGTGCCAGCTCTGTTCCTAACATGTACCACCCAAGTTCAGGCAGGTACACGGTCCCCGTCACCTTAAGGTCCGTATACAGATAGTCCCCTGGTCCCCTATTAATCCTCATATAGTCCCATAGACATTCCACCATCATAAACGCCTGACCCCTTCCCAAGGTTACAGCCCTCCATTCAGTATCGAGTCCTCGGACCATGTAGCTTGCTGAGAGCGACACCTCCCATCCGCCTCCGCTTTCAGTGGGCGGCCGCGGGTGCGTGGGTTGCCGCGAAATCTGGGCGCGTCTCATCGCCATTCTCACTTAGTAATCCCCTGCACAGTTTTAGACAGCAAGCGAGTTTACTTATTTCATTCAATCTTCAGCCCCTGCCTGAACAACCCCCCGGTTCTTAGCTTGAGTCCTCTTTCCTCCCCTATTCATTAGCCCTCTTACCGGTTTGTTCCTACTTCCATAGGCTCATATAATCGGTACATGTCATCTACGTACGCCATTCCTTGACTTATTTCCCGTCGTACGATACCCCACAAGACTTCGTTGCGGACGATCGGAACCCTAGATCTAGTGGTAAACACAACGCAGGATGCGCAACACCTCATACCTCTACTCTCCGCTGAACAGTCCCATTTCTAGGAAGGCCCGATAATATTCCCGATATACCATCGCGTCCTCATACGTCAAGTTGGCAAGGTCGGCCACTGCCCTCCTAACAAGTTCCACGCCGCCCAATCTTTTTGGCAGAAAGGGTGGCAGCCTCATCCGCACATTCTCACAAGGCAGCTCAAAGCTCCCGGCCATGGCTATCCTAAGGTCCATCGTTACCTCATCCTGCTCCGAATCTACAAATTCAAACCCTGCCTGCCACACAAGCTGACATGCCCCTTCAAACATTTCTGACGGATCCTCCCCTGACGCTAACAAAACTCCAAACTCCCGCCACCCATCCACAGACATATACAATCGCCCCTCCTCACACACATGCCCCCGCGGATCCGGGTTCCACTCCCCATTCTCATCCGCGCGCCACTCAACCCTCGTTACTAAGTAAACCGTGTTTTCCACAAGTTCCACCCCACCCCAATCCGCCACCGGGTGCCAACCCTCGCTTGCCGCCGGCAGACTGACCTCTATTCCACCCGGTACTTCCCTCGGCGGCTCGATGCCTAAGGGGCGATTCTCAAGAAACGCCCGCCTTCGCGCCATCTGCGCACCAGTTCTTGGTCTCCTAGCTCGCGATCCGCCCCGAGTCCAACAATAGCCAGACATTCCATCCCTTTATCCTTTTAGCAATTCGTTCTCATACTTGTCTGACCCTCGTTTTTCCTCCTCTTAGTCAAACCACAGCACCTCGAACAGCTTAAACACATCATCTACGTAGCAGGGTGTGGCGGCTATTTCACGACGAATTATTGCCTCCCTAATTTCAGAGGCCACCTCCTGCCGGTCGTTCATTTCGATATCCAAAATGATAAGGACCTCCCAGGCTCTATCCCCCTCGAAGGGCCCGAACTTCAAGGACGTCCTATACAATTCCTCTGCCAACCACGCACAGGTCACGTGTATCGGCTGCCTCTGTTACATGATCAAAACCCCCGAACCAATCCGCCACAAACTCAGACACCCAAGTCTTGGTTCGGGTGCCAGGCGGTTTAAACTTCTTCCACCCTCCCATTATGACTCTACTACTGACCTCATCCCAACCCTTATTGGCAAACTTTTCCCCGGCCTGCCGAGCCCTTTCCTCGGCATCCCCTAGAAGCCACATCGGATTTTGTCCAGCTGCAAGCGTTGTGCAAAACAGATGTCACCCTTGTTCGGAGAGAACTACCGTCCCTACCGATTCCACTCTCCCTTCATCAATATCTTTTCATCCTTCCTCCTCCCTTAGTGGGTTCCAAACACGTTCTATCCGTAAATATGACAGTTCCGGCACAATCTCATACCCCCGCCAGTCACATGTGGTCCCTTTCCATTCGTTGCTTGGTGGTATAGACATCTCTACTCCCCTCCCGACTCGTCTTGGTTCCCATGTGCAATCCCAGAGCTGGAGTTCCCGGGCCATCACTTCCTACCTGCACATAGTCGACAGCCCGTTCCCGAATAAGTCCCTCTTCCCCTTTCAAAAATTTCAGTCTTCTATCTCGTTCCCATCCTCCTCATCACTGAGATCCTCCTCCTCGCCTAAGAACAACTCTGTCACTCCCTCTAAGAATGTTTCACCAGCCGCCACATTTCGATAGATTATCTTTCAGTGCACTGTACTAGGAACAAAGACCTCACCCGAGCTGAGGAGGTTTAGCATCTTAGCTAGCTCTTCCCTCCAATTCCCTTCGAATGGTCCCACTTTCACCGACAACCTAAAGAAGTCCTGCCGGGCACACTGGTACAGCCTTAGATGTGTCATTGATTGGCATATCCGGTCCAGCCTATCTCTGGTCCTAAAAACGGCGTCCATCAAGAACGGAGGCAGCACACACCTCATTGTCCTAAGGGGTCGCCTCATATTTCCCCTGTCCCCAAGTTCCACCCGCACCTCTATCTTATCAATTTCCATTTCTGCCCGCTGGCATGCCGCCCACACCACTTCCCGTTCCGCTTGCCTAAACAATTGACTCGGTGCCGTGCCCAGGACCAGCCCTATTACCACTTCGTTTTCCAGGTCCTGGGATAGGTAGACCCACCATCGGGTTTCCACCGTCCCCCGGAACTCTAGGTCCATTAAGCTTGGTGAAAGTCTCGTCAAGCTAACCTTGGTCCAAACCGTCTCTATCCAGAGGAACGCGTCCTTTTCGTCCAGCATCACAGTTTCGTAGGCTGGCTCCAGGTCTTTCCATGTTTCTTCTTCTCGGAGAACAACAGATACCCCTTCCCCTACGTCTATAGGCATCTCCGGACCACTAGAGTAGACAGGGGGCGACAACCATTGCGCCATCTTGTTTTCCGGCGTCTGTCCTGTTTCCACATGAGAGCACCACACGGCCCCTCATGGTCAGATAGTTTTCTTTCCTTTTCTAGATGAGAGTTGTTTTCAGACCCCTCATCCGGGTCTTCCTTAGCTTTCCCTACC